AACGAGTCAACCGGACCCGAATTTGGCCCAGGCCTCACCGAGAAGGAGCTCTGGGATGGATTAATAAAACCCTCGCGCAAAAATGAACTTTGCACCTCTCCCAAGTTACCTTGTTTAGTTCCATTGTGACCCTACAAGTAATGAGTTTTCTGTAACTACACAAGCTGTCCATATTCACCGACCGGCAAAGAAAAGCATTAGTGTCCGATGATCATGGATTAGTTCTCGCAGATTGTTTGGAGTAACAGGGTGCACTGCAGCCAACAGCTCCCCGTATCGCCAGTATATGAAATAGAACCCTACATAATCTCCGGTGAAGGATGGTAGATGATCGAAATAGCCTTTTGGAAAGAAATTTATATCGAGTAATGCGACCCTGAACCCTCATTCCGATTCCGGTTTCCATATCTGTTGCGGACCACTATGTACGACGTTAGGAACGCTCTCCAGGGGGAGCACACCCACACTCAAAAAGCATTTTGGGCGTAAAGCTGCCAAAAGACGAGTTACATAGATTCCTAAGCAAACTGCAGATATGAAGCAGACCACATAACCGCTGAGCAACAGTGCATTCAAAGCAGCCCTACGCAGTAACGAGTATAGGTATCTTCTCGCTAAAGAACCGTTATAACTTTGTACAGAAAATGACACAGCAGACGTGGAAATCGTACTTGTGATCACCATCCAAGGACGGATTGGTCGAAATACACTGCTTCTCATAATTATGCTTCCACTCATGAGCATCTCAAAAACCTGCACTCAAAAAAATTTTCCAAACCCCAACGCGAAACAGTGCCACATAAGAACGCGAATTTTCATACCAGCGCAAAACCTCCTCGAACTAAAACCAGCAATTTTTCCTCAATATTGTTAACAAAAAAAAACATGTTCTCGACGAGGTATCATTGCAAAAACCGAGTCTTGTTTGTCAAAAGATGCGGCTGGGTCAACTCGATTGATATTGTAATTCTGCTTTTTCTTCACATTCTGCTCATCTTCCCCGCCTCTGCTAGGTTCTCGTTATCCCAAATTTGGGAGAAAATTCTCTAGTTTCTTGAAACTGATGTATAATTTATGTACTTATAGCCCTTTGACGATTTTTTCAGAAACATATTTGACAGAAAATCTCCCAAATTCATGGGTGAGTATCTCACTAAATCTCAATTCGACCTACTACCCTTCCCTTCGACTGCACACTGCAGCCACCAAGGAGCCTCACCAGGATTAAAGAGCTCAAGTGCACACAATGTAGACGTTAAGACTCACCGACACAACATCCGTGGGATGTGGAGGAGGTGGAGGCAAATCGCATGCTTCTTGATGATCGCCAAAAGCTACCCGCTGTACGACTTGGGCTAAATTTAATGGTTTGAGTCGACCACTAGTCTCGTGATACAGTATGTTGAAAATTTGAAACTATGCCGCTATTTTAAACCTAAAGCCCAATCTTTTTCATCTCCACCTCTATAGAGTTTTCGGCGCTTTTATCGACCTTATCCACCCAACTTGTCATAATTTCACATTCGGGTGTAATGCATGTTTCTGACTATGAAAGTAGTTTTAGTACCGATGTTACTAGTAGGTGTCGCATTCGTGATCATGACCATCAAATATCCCCAAGTGTAATTATATCAGTTTTTGTTAAAGAGGTCAGAACGCCAAATCGACGCCTGAACCATTTGCGCTGAAAAATGTTGCTTATAATTATGGCAAAAAAATAATGTTTTTTAGCAACAACTGCGCTCTTTTGAG